CCCCAAAACCCCAAAACCCCAAAACCCCGTCAGTCAGCATTGAATTTTTGTATGAAATGACGGAATAATTATAATTAACGTATAAAATATGAATTTCTCAAATTTAAACAATAACAGAATCAGCAGCTTTAATAATCTAGAGCTCTCTGATGGGAATTTAAGTTTAATGGAGAACAGTTTTATGAGCAGAGTTTAAGATAATTATGGAAGTCAAACTACAAACAATCAACTAAAAACTCTAATGTCATAAATTATTAAGAATCAGTAGTATATATTTGAAAGTGTGTTTAATCAATAGATCCCAGATGACTTCCCCATTATCTCCTAATAAAGAGTATATTAATATATATTATTGATTCACACTTTACTAGGACAATGACCAGACAATCATTATTAGTCACTTATTAAAACAACTTTAGCTTGTAACCACTAGATGCTTATAATAACAATAAGCCAATATTTAGCTTAAAAGCTAGCAATAAGAGTCAGATGATGATGGCTACAACAAAATGATGACTGATAAACTTTAAGCTGATAATAATCTTTTTAAACTCTCTCTCCAAAAATCTGTAAAATACTTTAAAACTAATTGATATTTGAATTCAGGAACTTGTAATAAAGAATCTCAAAACAGAAAATGACTATTTATCAAAGTAAATGTAATCTCTAAGAGCAGAATTGGAGAAAAAGACTGAAATACTTCTAACTGAGTAATAGGAATAGTTTCTCTAAGATTCGCACAGAGATCAAGTACGAATCAAATCCTAAATTTAAAGCTATCAAGAGCTTAAATCGCTTCTAAGTCAATCAGAAACTAAGGCTAAGCAATTAGTAAGTCAAATAATAATTGCCTTCAATTCTAATCTCATAATCTTTAATAGAATGATCAAAATATGAAGTTAATAGATGAAGTCAAAAAGACTTAATAAGAGTTGGCAAAAATATAAAAGGAGCATGAACTTCTGAAGATATCAAATAAATAGCTGCTCAATCAAAACCAATCAAAGATAATTTAGAAAATAGAGCAAATTACGAATAGCAAAAATGGTGCAGGAGTTCATATTAACGTTTTCTCAACCGAGGCTAAGTCCTTAGTTCATGATAAAATATTTAAGACGTTTATACATTACAATGAAAACTCTTTTTCAACGAATAGTCAAGATAAAAGCTATCTTCCCCAAGATATAGTGAACCAATAAATAGCTATGGCATAACTAAATGAAAACATACTAAATGAGTGGAAAAGAGACAAATAAAATCCTAAGGTTAATAAATCTCTAAATTAAAGTATTTAGAAGTTATTAGAACAAGCTGAGCTTATAAAAAAGGAGGGAACTTCCTTAAGAGTAGATAACTCTGAGCTTTAAACTTAATGTGATTAGCTTAAGACTAACTTCAGTTCTTTATTAGATAAATTCTAGGAATACATTAGCGAGAATGAATAAGATTAGAGCATTACAGATCAAATTCACAGATAAGAAATTCAAAAGTTTGTTTAAGAACTAAACTTAAAGCAAATCGACATGAACTCAAAAGATGGCTAAATAAACTTACTTAATCAGCGAATAAAAGATATTCAAGATTAAATCATCAAGCTTCAAAATGAAAATTTGTTAATGAGACAGAAATACTAGATTCATTCACCAGTGAGGTCAATATAACTCAATAATCTAAATAGATCAAATGATAATAGCAATAGATAATCTTTTTAATAGCAGTAGCATGTAAGCAATTTGGAATGCTCATTCAATCAGGATGAATTAATGAAGTATTTGCTCTAATTAGCTGATCAAACTGACCTTATTATCAAAAGAATATCTTAAGATTACCAACCACTGTAAACTTTTTAGGAAACATTGCAACTAACAAATTAAAATGATTCCATGATAAATGTAAATCAATACACTGAATATCTTATCTAGATAAAGTCTAATCTATAAACTATAAACTAGTTTGTCAATAACATTTGTGAAAGCATTAATGACTCAGTGGAGTTGAGCGAGTTTAAATAGTTAGCTGAGAATATTTTAACATAATATGAGAATTTAGTTTGCTAAGAATAAAATGATGAAAGTAATAAAGATTGTACCAGCTAGTAGTACTTGTATGATTTACACAGCTTATTCTTAAACTTACTAAAATGTTGCTTGAACAAAGATATTGAAGTTACAATTACTAAGAGGCATTTAGAGTAATTAATGTAGATAATGAATGATAATCAAAAGGGTGGAGTAGTCATTGATCTTAATGGACTCTTTAAACAGAATATGGAGGAATTAATTGGGTTGAAAATGGAAAATAGCATGCATATATAATAGATAGAAGAACTTTAAAGAGAACTTGAGGATACTAGAGCTATACAATCCTAAACTATAAATGAACTCTAGAATCAATTGTTAATGTCATAGTAGATAGACTCTACTCAGATAAAGTTAGACACTTAAAAGAATAATCTGTAAAATCTTTAATCTTATGATTCCAGAGGATTATTAAATCAGACAATGCTTAAAAACTCTATATAGAGTCAGTAATTTCACCTTAAGGATGAAACTTAATGCATAAACTGCAAAGAGATGCAAGAATTATATGATCAACTGGAAGTATAGATCAATGATTCAAAGTAAAAGCTTGACGATTCAACCAATATAATATCATCACTTGAAAATTAGCTCGAAACAGCCTAGAATACTATTCTATCTATAGTAAAGATTTTTGAAAAGAAAGATATTAAAAGTTACAATTATCCTTCAAATATATTGCACGAGTTTGTCATTGAAAAGGTCAAAAGATTAAATAAGAAATATGAACATTAAAGGAAAAATAATGAAGAATTTTAGAGTGCTGTTTTGAAGGAACTTGAGTCTTTGAATAAAGAATTCTCAAAGAAAAAAAAGAAATAGGATGAAACAAAGAGTAATAAATCAAGGGAGAGGTCCGAAAATAATATTAGTAATATGGATAAGTTTAATCAGCTCTTTTAATTGCTTAAAGAAGTAATTTAGGATAATGCCAAATAGAATAGGATTAATGAGGAAATTGATGATTCATTGATTGAACAGACTGCCAAAGAGCATTAGAAACATTATAAGGAAGTCAACACAAACAATCATTTCTGTCCTAGAAAATTATCTTAAGTCACTGCTACATCATCTTAAATAGGTGCTGTGTATTCATAAAATCCTAATTCTCTCCTCAACACAATGACTCCTTAAAATTTAATGACATTTGCTGAAAGAAAGTAATCAATTATATCGCAAGTAGAAAATTTGAGTAATGTTCAAACTTAAAGGTTGGTTTAAGGCATAAATTTCTCAAAAGCTGCAGAAAATGATGATACTCCTTTGGTTATGATTTCAGAGAGAGACAGTAAAACTGTTCTTCATGCGCAGTAAAGTATAGAGACTCAAAATTCTGAGTCAGCAATCCCAACAAAAGTTCAAGTCACAACTCTTCCCTCGGTAAGCAATAAAACTTAAAAAGATGCAGAGAAAGATAAATACATTAATATTCATAAGATATCTTCTAAACTTTAACTATAAAGTTTTGATAGATACTAAGACAAAGAAAATAACAGTAATCAGTTAAATTATTCCTACTCTAATAGAAACAACTTTTAGAATATGAACCTACCTCAGCTAATAACAACGAATAATCAAATAATTAATATAGAAAAAAATCCCGAGTTAGCTATGAAAGCTTTAGATGCTTATTATGAAAAGGTGACCAAAAATCTTGAGCCAAGAAGTAAATCTGTTGAATAAAAGACTAGATTTGGTACAACAGCTGTAAACAACAGTTAAAATAAGAAGATTTATAAGAATATCAAAATCTTAAACGATCTTGAAGAGTAAAATGCAACTAAAAATTTAGATTATTCCTAGTTGTAAACATGCAACTATGAACCATGCAATAAATTCAATGAATATGTAAACGAAGATAAGGACAACTCAAAGCGACCTCATACTCAACATTTGCATACCCAAACCATTTAGAAAAAAAATTAGAATGTGCATCACTATAATTACAATTAAGCCAATAAACATTTTGCTGATAAAGAGAATGACGATAACTTAAACCGAACTGTGATGGTCTTATAGTAATAAAATAAGTATTAGCTTAGTGATCAATAATAAAATTATACTTAAGACAAGAGAAGGAAATCAGAAGGCGGAAGATCCAATAATAATCTTTTCAAATCTGCTTAAAATACTCAAAAATTGAACTAATTAGCCTATATTAATTAACCATTAACAGCTTTAGAAGCTAGACTTAACAATAAACAAGCATAGACAATTTAGGTGTGAACATAAAGCATTTTAATCACAAATGTAAACGCAAGATTGACTCAATTCTAATTAAGCATAATTATTTATTAAATTAAGATTTACATAAATATATTCACTTCAGATAAGAGTATATTATCATCTATGAATACTTTAAACTATATGATATCACACAATCATTTAGCCATTTCATTCATTTTTTCATTGGTCCAAATGTGGCTTTTATTTAAGTCATCTAATTATCCAAGAGCACCTTGAATCGCAAAATCAGCTAATAAACTCAATTTAGTGCTTTAAGATTAGGGGAATAAATGGTCGATTAACCTTGATTCAGGTATCAAAGGCAGCACCTTCTTTTTTAATTCATAACCAAAGTCATTTGCTACTTTGACTGGGACACTCCAAGATCTTTCATTTTCAGACCATACAAAACCTGGTCTCAATATAACTGGTATAATTTCAGGGCAATTATTCAATAAAAACGATTCAGCTTATTCCTTCATGTCAGAATATTTCTGGAGTACGGGAGTAATTGATTTCGATGCAGATATAAATACAAAATGACCCTTTTTGTCTTACTTTTTGCAGGCGTTATTGAAATGTTCAGCCATTAGCTTGCATGAATCTCTATTCATAGCTTCAAGACTTTCATCATACTTAGGCTTCATTCCTTGAGCCAATAATTATTGAATAATATTTATTGGATCTCTTTTTTAGAAAATCTTTGAATTCATACCTTTCTAAAGAACTTCTTTATAATCGAATCCCTCCATTATAGCACCGACTGAATGAATTATAGCATCGAATTCCTCTAAATCTTTTGGATAGGTTTCAGGCTTTAAGCAATCTCCCTAATAATAGGTGACATTTTTAAACTATGAAGTGAACTAATCTTTTATCCTCTATTCATCTACATTTCTTCTACTCATAGAAACAATATGAATTTTAGGTTTAGTTGCAGCAAGCATCTTTACTATATAGTTTCCTATGTACCCAGAACCTCCTGTAATTAGTATTTTCCCTGACATTTTAATTTATCAAATTTCTGTGATTATTAAAATTCATATACTTTTAGATAATGGGGTTTTGGGGTTTTGGGG